GAGCGGTTGGAATCCATGGCAGGTTCAAGTGGAGATAGATTGGCCGTGAAGGCCGGTAGAAAGAATTCGAAGAAAGTTGACAAGTCTGAGGGATATGGTAAAGCATCGCAGTCTGGCCATGAGGTTGCAAAGAGCTTGGATCATGAGATGTCAGCTGCTCGAGATCATCATGATGATGGAAAGGAGTTGGATGGTTGGGAAGAGGTGCTGGGTGAAGAATCGGATCCTCATCCTCCGTCGTACTCTCCTCCTGTGGTTGAGCCGCCATCCAGTGCATCCTATGCCACTAGCTCTCCGAGTCCGGCCCGTGAAGGATTTGGTGTCGGCGAGATCTTTTTGTGATGACTCGAAAGACTGGCGAACGATTGCACCGAGCTTCGTGTTCCTTGCTTAAGCACCATAAGGACACACAACTGGTCAAGCGAGGCCTTTGTGACCCCTGTCTTCGAGAAGGGATTCGGGGCCATGACCACCTCATGGCATTTTCGTTCGAGCACAATAGCTGCTTCCACTCCTATGATAGCTTGTGCTTGTCAGCAATCGATGTAAATCGAAAGCTGCGCCTTTGTAAGCAGTGCTGCTACATCCCATAGACCGAAATGATGTTCCTTGAAGTTGAATGAAAACAACTTGGATGGATTGATACAATCCTACCGGAATAGATGAACACCTTTCGTTAGGAGATGTAAACATGCCATGTTTTGTTCGTGCGGGGGTGTGAAATACAGTCACCATCGTTGACCATTTCGTTCGACCACAACATGTCATGCATACAATCGGAAGGGAACATCGTTCGAGTCGCTTGCATGTGTGCTGCATCCATCCAGGGTGTTTTTGGCCGGCTTTTGAAGGGATGACACGCGCAAATCCGAAGTGTTGCATCCCAGCTTCCTCGAGAGCACAAATCGAGAAAGTGTACCAAGTTCGTCGAAGCCGAGCCTTGCCATGACGGACTCAACAATCGGTGCAGTCAGCCCAAGCTGTCGGCATCCTTTAGCTTACAGTGCGCGTTCGTAAGAACCCATTGAGTGCAGCCAACCCTAGTTGGGGGCCTCAAATCCGTTCGTCATTGGCTCAAGGCTCAAGTCCGTGCGAGAAAAACGCGCGCGGGCGCCGGGGCGGTGGGCGAATCGGACGATCGCGTCCGAGGGTTCGCGATAGGTTTGAGGTCTCATTCAATTTTGTTCAAGGTTCACGTTCTTTTTGGGGAACAGTTCACGAGAGTTTTAACTTTCATAGGTGGTGGTGGTGGTGGTGGTGGTGGTGGTGGTGGTGGTGGTAAAAACCATGGTTGTTCGCAAGAGGCTATTGAATCGATGGTGGGCCAGGAACCCTAGGGATTTCCGAAGTCATTCAGTCCAGTCGGGTCGCCAGACGCCCGCGGTTTACTCCTGCTTCGTCGCGCTTACGAGTGGAAGGGGTGGAGGTGCATCTCTCATCAGTCTGGACTTTTTTCTGTCGAGGAGCCCAGAAATACGGACTATTCCCCAGGAGGGGATGGACCCACAGGGAAAGTACAAGATCACCCGGAGGCAAAACCAAGTTTTTTTGGGGCCGCGGTCTGAGCATGGAAGATCGGAAACTCAACCCTGGAAATGAAAAGAGCAAGCTGAGGGATGAGTCAATTACTAAATTAGCACAGAAGGTTGTGTTTGCTCTCTGAAACACAAGGACAGAATGTTGCGATTCCAACCCAGACTTTGTCACCCTTTGCTTTGCGGTGGCTTCAAAAGAACATCCTAAAGCATGCAGAGCACGGACTGTGCTGGTCCTCTACCTTTAACTGGAGGCCCTCCCGTTCTGGTCTGGCCTTGAGATTCTCAATGGGTCCCAGCTTGAAGGCCGGCAAAGTACCCTGGCAGACCATCGTCTTCCAAAAAGAGATCTATTAGGAACAAGGACACTACTAGGGGCTCCTGGCCTTACTACTAGGAGCAAGAAGGAACAAATTCAACAAAAAAAAGACTGGCAGGTGACTGGAGTGGAGTGACTGGAGTGACTGGCTTGTGATCAAGATGAGCAGCCAAAGAAAGTCCCATTCGCTGTGAAGTCACCTATCGACCCGAGGGCTTAGGGCGTTCTGGGCACTCTGACCGCGCAAGTCTATTCAAGTACACCTGGCTCTTAGGTGTCCAATGGCGTTCAGTGCTGCCCCAAACGCAGCGTTCACTATCTAATTGAGTTGTGACACCCACTGAAGTATGAGCGAGTCGGAGCTTGGAAGAGCTGTGGTGTATTGGAGAAGCTACTGAGGCAGCCTCAGTCCGTTTCTCAGTGCAAGAAAAAAGAGATCATGTGGGGTTTTCCCTCCGCCGTTTGTTCATTCATCGTCACGAAGACATCGAGAATCGGCGAAGGAAGACGCTGAAAAAACTCGCTGAAACCGGACATCGCCCAGGGCGAAGCATCGCTAGAAGACGCGCTGATCCGGTGCTGGATCGGGTTGCAAGAAAAGCGCCCACCCTGTTGCCAAAGTTTAAAGGGGGGCGATCCATGGAGGTTAGGGGTGCCCAGTACCCACTCACTGGATGGGACTAAACACCACCCCTTTTGACCGCTGGCATATTATAAATACATATGCTGGAAAACATGCGTGCACCGGCAGGTCACCGTCACTGTGGTGGAAAACAACATTGTCCTTCTTGTGTTTCCAAGACTTGATTGAAGTGGTAGACAAATTATCTTGGGTTCACAAATGGCTCCGAGAAAACAAAAAAAAACGCACTGAAGGAAACCCTTTGGGCCATTGGGCGTCTGGTATTTCTTTTTTGTAGGTCCCCCAACCAACCACAGGCTTATCTGGCTTGAAGCTATCCTGCAGTTCCAAGCCCGACCTCACCTCGACCTCACAGTCGCCGGGACCGCCGCGTCCTTCACCGGACGCGTCGCTGGGCTTCACTGGGCGTCCTGACACGATGTCCCTGCGCTGGAGCACCCGCCTCGACCGGAACCTCCTGCGGTCGAGGGAAGGATCTGCTCCTTCTGCAATGACGAGAGGAAGGAGGATGGCGAGAGGTCCTAAAGGGACTCAGAGTGGATAAGGGGTCAGTCCCTGATGCCGGCCCTGCCATGCCAGTTCCTACCAGGTCCTCGCCGTTTCAGCCAACCAGGCCCTGCTCCTTCCGAATGGCTCTGTCTTGCTTCGACCCGGGTGGCCTGTCTTGCTTGGACCCCCTCGCCGTGGTGCCCAGCCTCCTGAGGGGCTGATGAGACCTGAGGCAAAAAAAGGTCTCAACCGATGTAGACGTAGTGAGGACGTGAACGACAAAAGTGACACAGGCGCCTCGGAGAAACACCGTTTCTTCATGATAAACACCCTCAATTCGACTCAGTCCTGATTTTGTTTTGAGTTGGTATTGCAGATGAGTGGATGATGACGAAAACAGGTTGCAGGTCGGCCTTTCTCGAGTTAATCATCGTTTTGCAGGTCTGCTAGACTGAAACCTGCACACTGCTAATGGGAGACGGATACGTTGTCTGATATATGATGATTCTGGTATTATTGAATCTGAATCTTATGGTCAAATTGTGGATTCTTGTTGCTTCTTACACTAGATGCCTGCCTGCCAAATGATGCCCAGTGCCAGAAGTCCTATCACCAGCGCCACACATAGCCTGCAAGCGTCCCAGACACGTCTACGTGCAGAATCGCATGTTCAAGGATGGCCCCAAATGCTTTGTCCACACGCCTTTTAGATTGCAATTAAAATGCAGAAGTGCCAAGGCTGGCCCACGACCCACCAGTGCGTGCCAAGCAGTTCAGCGAATTCCAAGAAACTCGTTGAGAGGAGTCGGAGGGATTTCCGAGAAAACCCAAGGGCCTAGTTCAAGCGATGTGCTTCAGAGGCAGAATCCAAATCCAAACTGACACCTGTGTTCTTGCAGGTCCCAACACCACTGGTCCGATGCTCTTGCAACTCCACGCAGCCCCGGTCCAACGACCAGTTCCGGTGGACGTCCGGCCTCGCTGCCGAGGATTTGCACCGTGCCCTCGGAGCCGGGGCAGGTCTTCGGGTGGACGCAGCGAGTTTGATTAGGTTGCAGGGGAAAGAATAGATCGAATGTGTTGGGTTTGGGCACCCAATCCCTCAAAACGCCATCCAGTGGACCCTCGTCGAAGATCTTCAAAGCAGGATGGTGACCACAACTTCTGAGTGCACTGCATGGTGACCACAGAGTGCTGAGGATTTGGGAAGCAAACTGTCTGCGCATGTAACCTTGTGTTACTTCTTTAACTGATGCAAAGCTAAGTCTCATCATTGCCAGTGCAATCTACTGAGCCTGCTTGTAAGAGACCATGAAGCTTCCCAAACTCGGTACTTGATCCAAGAACCTTTGTGAAATTTGGGCCAAAATGCCTATGCACAAAAACCAGCATAGGGCAAGATGTGTCTGGCAGTGTCCCATCTGCGCTTCGCTGCTTTTGCGCATCTGCCGTCCCACCATGCGACCTTTTTGACGATGAGGATCGGCCATCAGCCTCCATGGTGGGCAAACTGTCCAAAGGAGAAGCATGAGGGTCTGACGGCACATGCCCCTGCTTTCAGGGCCCACAGGCGCCAAAAGGAAGTCGCCGTTTCGATAGACGTTTCGGAATGCCAGGCAGTGCCGCGCAGGACAAACGCGCAGCCCGACAACATCATACAACATGATACGGTCCAACCTTCTTTGGAGCCACGAGACATTGAAGACTTTCTTGTTCGCTAGCCGCTTTCCCGTGAGATCCGGGTGTCAAACGCCACAGACCCCACTTCCTCTCTGAGCAGTCGATGCTCTGTACAGAGGGCCCACGAAGGCCGCGGACACCGACCAGCTGAGTGTTTTCGATCATGGTAGTGCCTTCTGGAAAGATGGCAGCACTCCAGGCAAAATAATTGCATTTCAAGGAATATGCAAAACAAACAAAAGCAACGACGAGAACAACAATAACACGGGTATTCTGAATTCTTGTTTCCTCACTTCAAAAATGTTCACCTTTGGTATGGGTAATTGAATAAGTTCGGGCTTTTCATGTTGGCAGTGGCACAAAGCCTCTCAAAGTCACTGGATCGGGCATCCGCAAAACACACCGAGCCAAGTCCTCTGGACTTGGGTCAATCCGAATCGTCGTCCTCGTAGCCGAGCTTCTGGCGAAGACCCCTGGAATCAACATCAAGCATCGAAACAGTTTGAAAGGAAACATGATCGCCCAGCAGTTTCAAAGAAATGCTTTTGAGTCCCATTCAAGGGGCCGTGGGTGTGACAGGGGCACCCGGACTTCCTTCCTTCGTTCGACACTGGATTTGACATGATGAGTCGATCGCCGAGCGCAGGATGATCCTCCTGATCCTCTAAAGCTCAGTCCGAACCTGCTCCGTCGTTTCACCCTGCACCATCCACCCAAGTCTCGGGCTTCGGTGCGTGCTTGATCATCGAATCCACCTGGATTCGATCGCGCTCATCGAGCTGCTTCGATCGATCCCGGAATCCCGGAACGCCGATGAAAAACGTCGATCGTCGTTTCAAGGCCGCCGAGGTCATGGGGCCCTGGTCTTCTTCCAAACCCATGGCCGCCAGACTCTGGACCGGCCTAGAAAAGCCCCAAAAAGGTTGCACACTTCTATTCACTCTTGGCACTCAGTTGACGCGACGAGCTAAGACTTGACGGGCGAGATCCTGACCACTGTAATAACAAAGGGCACGATCCAATCAGATACACAGCTCCACAGCTCGTGCTCGCTCCGCGCTCGCTCGGTCCGTGCTCGGGTCCGCTCGGGTCCAGGCTCCGGCGCCAATCCTCGCGAGTCGCATCACCCAGCCTCGCCATGGAGAGTCCGGGTGTGACCGCCATGGGTGTGACCGGAGGCATCAAGATACATCGTAAATGTTGGTTGGAGGCATCAAGCTACTGTGTCAAAAGGTCTAGGCTTTGCCAGTCGCAGGCCTGGAATGCCGCCAACACCCATGCGCCTGGCATGACAGGAACGCTGTTCCCGCTGTCAGGAACGTCCAAACAAAATTCACTGACGGTGCAGGAAGTCACTGACGGGGCCCTCCTTGTGAAGTCATCTGCAAAATGACAGCAGTTCCGCCGCAGGAGGTCGTAGTCATCACCCGGATACTCCTGAACCAACGGTGGTGGCTCACAGGAGGCCTCTCACAGGACCCCACCATCGTAACGAACGTGGCAACAAGAAGCTACGAACGTAGCTCCTGGCATTGCTACGAACGGAACAAAGGGCATCGCTACGAACGTAGCAAGAAGCTAGTAGGTTGGAGGCCATGGAACAAGAAGCTACTAGTAGCAAAGGGCATTACTATCAGTAGCAAGAAGCTAGTAGTAGCGATGCATTTGTGACGGGATTGCCATCTCAATGCACATGTGGAAAGACATATCCACTACAACCCGTTGGTTTGTTAGGCCTCAGTGTTTGAGCCGCGCCAACTCCACCGTTTGTTTCAGGAGCAGCTCCTCCAGCATGTGCTGGATGATCTCCGTGACCTCTTCCTCGCTTGGCTCCAAGTTGAACAATTGTGTCTCCCATGAAAAACTCGTCATCTCAAAACCAACACAGGTGGTTCAGAACCCAAACCTTCGACTCTCCCAGTTGGGTACCCCAGGTAGTTCCGGGTCCAAGTTCACGTCACTCATATAATCTCTCTTTGAAGACCAAAAGACAAAAGCAGATTTCTCGGATCCCAAGATATCAGCTGTTCCATCCCTGTTCCATGACTGCTGGTCCGGACTACGCAAGCTCGTCCGTTGAACGCCTTCCTTTGGGCGCGGCCCTCAACGCCGGTGATGCCCACGGCATCGAAGACGAAACAGGGATGCCAAATCACTTCACTCCACCGGGGTGCACTTCATGTTGACTCGGAGTGAACTTCAGGTTGACTCCCGTGCGACTGCCGTCCGACGGCCGTCCGTCCCTGAGGTCTCCGCAGGCGCACATCGCGTGTAGCCCATGTCGACCTTCGTTGTCGCGTAGAGCGGCTCGCTCGTTCAGTTGAGCTTCGTTCGACCGCGTTTTGCACTGGACAAGCTGATGACATCTGCAGAGTGGACTGAGGATGAAAAGGGGTTCTCGTCTGCTAAGAGGTCTAGAGGTCTTGAACCCTGATTCCTATTCAAAGAAGGAGGTTTGACCTCCGCTACACTTCAGCTACACTTCAGCTGCGCTGAAGTCGCTGCGCTTATCGGCTGCGCTTCTCGGCCGGGCCATCTGTCGGCCGGGCCGTCTGTCGGTAGTGATGAGCTGGATGGGCTTTGGGCTCAACGCAGCAGACTCCCGGATGCGTCCTGAAGCGAAGAAGATCCAGGAACATCAAGCGGGACCTGCCGGGGTGGTTTCTCGGCGCTACTTTCCGGTTCCACTGTGAAAATGTGGGAAAGACTTGGTGAAACCGAGTGACCAATCCGTAAAAGAATGGCTCCTCTGGATGACCGGCCCATTGTGGTCTCATGGCGACCGGGCACCGGGAGAACCAGGACACCCCCGAGAGATGGCCATGTCTCAAACAGGTTCGCCCTTTCCGAGGTGAACGAGGTGAACGAGCCCATGGATTCGGGTCCGGCCAACAGAAAGTTCAACTGCCGAGAAAAGCGAACAGACTCAGGCAAACAGAGATTGCTAGCTAGCTAGCTAGTTTGGTTCAAGCCTATATATTTCTGTTGGGTGGATCCTCTTTGGAAACTGGAGGCTCCGTTGATGGTAGGGGTGAGGTCTGTTGAGGTCGACGTGCAACGGTCCATGGATGTGGCGCAGGGTCCATGGCGGAGAACTTTGGGTTTTTTTCGCGCCGATGATTTTCGGGACAAAGATGCATCCGTCTTTGGAGATCAAAGAACCTAAAAGGTCATCTGGGTCCCAGATCTGGCTTGTATCGGCAACACCGGCAACACCCAGTTCGGGTGGTGATTGGATGGAAAATACACAGATCAGAAGGGTCCTGGTAGGGCTTCTTCCACTCCCCTACAACCCTGCCATTTTGCCCACTGTACCACTGTAGGATTCCCCGAAACCCATCGCTGTCGTTGCGCTCGCAAAACTCGCTCTCTCTCGCTGACAAGGCACTTGCTACCGGAAAACCCGAAGCACCACTCCATGCCATTGACCTCTCCACGTCCACGACGTCCCGCCGTCTCACGCCGTCGTCCGTGCAGCGCGGGCATCGAAAACCGGGGTCGGAAGTTCGGGTTCGGCATCACGTCTTCATTCACCGCCGCGAACCTCGACGCCGGCATGGAAAACCCCACCGAACTTCAGCGGGAAGTGCTTGTAGGCCAAGACCTCACAAGTGGTTGGATCATGTTGGATCATCACATTCGTCTTGTTTCATGTTTTATCGCATCGCATGAAAAATGCCATGCTATAGGCATGCAAGTGAGGCGAGCAAATGCCGGCCTTATTCAGCTTTTGGATCGAATCCTCCTGTGTGTCCAGCAAACTCCAATGTGAACAAAACATGTCTGGCAGTGTTCATGTGAAAACCCTTCTGGAAAAATGCATTTGTCCCCCGCTTTGCCCACCTCTGCTGGGTCTACTTGGGCTCTGCTGCTGGCTCGTCTCCTTTTGTCACGTGGAATGAAGCTTTGTATCATTTTGTATCCAGGTCCAGGTGCCGCTGGGGCAGTGGATTTGAGAGGAAAGATCATGCGCCAACCGCCACATTGGCACGGGGCAGTCCAGGTGGACTTCGAACAGCCTTGCGGTTCGTCAAACAGAGGGAAAGGACTGTTAGAAGGTTCTTGTCTGCTTCTTTCACTCATCACTTGAGTCAGTTGCCTCTGAAAAAGGGTGACTCTTCTTGCTTGTCTCATGTTGTCTTCTGGCTACAGGCAAGTTTCCATCGTCCAAGTCGTCCTCACTTCCGGGTCGATTTGCTCACGAGGGGGGCACAGTACGCGATTGTAACATTTGCAGTTGGATGAGGTGTGATCAGGCATGTAGCTTCCGGCTGGGCTTTCTCCCATGTCCCACCTTCCAGGTCCGGAGGCTCCATTGTCCGTGTTGTTTCATTCTAGGAGCAAGAAGCTACGAACGTAGCTCCTGGCCTTACTACTAACAAGAAGCTACTAGGAACCAAGGGCATCGCCAAAGGCGATTCGCAGGGTCCAACGGTCTTTGGGTGCTATTCGCGAAGCCGTTCCAAATGGCTTCCCCCTCTTCCTCAGGTCCTCTTCTTGGCTGTTGGGCTGCTATTGCTCTGGGCTGCCCAAAACCTTGTATAATAGGCCCTACACACCCCTTCAGATCAAGTCCCGTTTCACCACATACCTTGCTACAGAATACCATGCTTCCAAACGAAAGGAGAGAGTCCTGGGACACGTCGTAGACATGGAGCAAGACCCGAAGCCCCTCTGCCTGTGGCGACGGCCATTGGGCGGGCCCATTGGGCTCCAGTCGAAGCCCTCCCGTAAACAGGCGCCGGTCCGAACGGACTCCTCTGTCTGTTGTTATGAAACATTTCTGTCGACATGACCCTCTGCAGCCCCATGCACCGAAAGCCAGTGGGCCATTGGTGTCGGGGTTCATTCCAAAACCCCCAACGAAGCCACGCATCGTACCTTTCCGGCCGCCGCCACCGGCACCGGTGCGGACTGCCGGTGCTCCCATCTGGCGGTGCTGTCGGTGCGGACCGGTGCTGTCGATGCGCCGTAGCGAATCGGTTTCAGACTCCGACTCTTGGGGGTTCCCCCAGTCCCAGCCAGAAACAGTTTTGGTTCTTCCAATATGGCGCCATCTGGGTCCTAACAAGTGCGGAGTTCCATCCAGATTTACTGATGGGACTAGGACTCGGTTTGGTAGATTTGTAAAGGACAGTCCTCAAACGGCTTGTCTTCGACATCCGTCGACTAGTCCACATTTTTGCAGAGACTTGGGGGGGGAGGACTCCAGCTAAGCAAAGTTGACGGAGCTTCATGAACTCTCAAGACGAACCCAAATAGATGTAGGCTTTGCCTCCAACCTAAAAGCGATGGCCTCCAACCTCATAGACTCATAGCGTTCCCCTCCTGTCACCCAAATCGTTGCGCTTTTGATATCCCACTCCTGTCGCAGGACGTTTTATCGCTCTTTCAGACCAGGGCCCTTCGGGTGGACTGTAAAATGCGGTCTGTCGGTCTGTTCACCTAAAAGCTGAATTGAAACCTCCATCGATTGACACAAAAAAAAAGGAGAGGAACATTGAAAATAAACCTGTCAGCTGTGCAGATCGACATCTTGTACCCATGAGAGCAGCACATTCCTGAGCACCAGCTGTTCGAGCTGTTCGGCGCGGTAAGAGCGGCTCTTAACCACATGGCTGCACGCCAACAAACTCCAACAGGTTCAACCCCAAGAAACTGATATGAACGGCACCTTCCTTAAGGCGTCTCCAAAGGATCACTCGACCAATCTCCATGATTGAAGGCCCCCAGATGGTCGTAGCAATCCTTCCACCTTCGGGATCCACGGATACAGAAGCAACGGCCCGGAGCGGAACGACCCCCACCGAGACGCCGGGTCCAGAGTTGTCGTCTGTTTCGGTTCAGCTCTAGGTGGCACACGTGACTTCTTCCAGCGTCAGCATGTCAGCAGGATCCCTGCGACCGAGCACGGAGGGGTTCGGGAGCAAACTTGGAACTCGGCGGCGGAACACCGGAGGTCGAGTCCGGACTCGAGCGGCCGCGAAGGTCCAGCCTCTGTTGGAGCAGCTCGGAAGCTTGACTCCAGAACTCGGGATACCTTCGACTGGGCTTTCAGAGTGGCCTATCTTTGACAAAACAAACAAAACAAGAGAGTGGGGTCTGAGTCTGCTTGCGAATGAGACTCCTCAGTCCTCCAGATTTCAATTGTCTTTTTCAATCTCGTGCATGGCACTTGCATGGAATCAATGTTGATGGAAATCCTGCGGCGCACGCGGACATGGCAGAGGCCCTTTCTAGCTCTTGCAAAAGGCCGTGGAGGGAGAACTCCTGCAAGGCAGGCAATGGGCGCAAAGGTCTGGCGATGTCACAATCGATGGTCAGGAAGGCTCTTGGGGAGGGGCTGAACAATTCAACCTGCAGGGTCCCTAGAGAGGGCGCTGTCACCCTGACTGGCGCTGGCGCTTCCTGTTGTGTCTTCCAATCCACCGCACTGCAGGGGAACCGGCGCTGCTGGTGCACACCTCTGGACCCCTTGAGAACCCTCTGAGATACTCTGAGTATCCCAGAAGAAGGGACAGGATTCTCTATACAGTAGAAAAACATGACATGTATATATAAATGACTACATGTCGTGTATACCTTATACCTGGATCTTCTAACTATGCCAATTTTCTGCCGAACTTGGCTGCTTTTTTGAGATGAAAAGGCAAAAATGTGTCTCAGTTGGAAGATCCAGGTATACTCCTACCTGGACCCGGGCACCCCTTGGAGGGTCCTGGTATATTCTAGTTACTGCTTTTCTTTTCGCTACGAACAGGTCGACTCCGGCGGCGCCGTCGCCACGGAGCTGCGCGAGGCGGTCGAGGCGGTGGAGTCACCTCATGCAATCGGTGGAGACGGGGCTATTGGTTTTTTCTGAGTTCATAGGAAGAGGAGGTATTCCAAGTGAACAGGGCTTCACATGGGCTCTTCCATGTTCTTTCCCTGACCCAATGTCTATCAACGACACAGAACCCAATCCGAGACCCAGATCTCAGACACGAGCCCAAAGCAGCGATGGCCTCCACCCTATAGACGCTATAGTAGCGATGGCCTCCAACCTGGTAGCAATGGCCTCCACCCTAGCTCAGTATGTATTTAAATAGGGAAACGGGAAACCTCCCAGTTCGACCCCCTGGAAGAAGGAAAATCGACCAGTCTACCCATTGGGCCAGGGGTGTCTGCGATCCTCACGAATAATGCCTAACACGGGCATTCGAAAAGTTACAAAGCCGCAAAACCCATTGGTTCGGGGTCCCGCTACATGAAATAACGAAAGAACTCCTGAGGATGCTTGGATGTTTTTTAGGGGGGCCAGATCCAAGGTCTTCACCAGGCTTGAGGGTGTTTGTTTTGGAAACAGAAAAAATGGCCTTAGAAAAGGTATCCTTATTCAGAACCACTTTGAGTCGACGCAAAACCGAGTAAAAGGTCCATGTCAGTGAGGACTTGACAATCAGTGCAGTTCCAAGACTTTCAATGCAGAATTCTGGCCGCTTCGCTGGCTTTTTGTGTTCATGTTCCCAATGTTCCCAGCCCAAGATCCCTCATTCCGCTCTTCCTTCCTTCCTCGACCTTCCTCGCGCCAAGCCACCTTCTTTCTCCCGGGCAGCCAGTCGATCCTGCGCCGCGGGACGCGCTCCACGGCCGACCCGACGCGTCTCGACCCGCCTCTTCCGCGCGGCGCAGGATCCGATCCTGGCGGGGTCTGTGTCGGCCACGGAGGGCCGGAAGGTCGGCACGGAAAGGAACCCCCAAAAGCATGAGTTCTGAGGAAGTGAGGCAAGAGTTTGGAGGTGTTCCGATGCTGGACACTGTTCCGAAGCACGTCAATTTGTCTCGTTACACCAATGAAAGCTCGGCCAAAAAGAGCTGATGGAGATCCACCCTTGCCGGAGTTGAATCAGAAATGATCTGCAAATCGAAATACAAATGGGACATCTTGAAACACGGAAACCCGTTGCACTCGCACAATGGGCAATGGCATGGCTCACCAGTGAGACGACGCTGCAATTCTGCAGAGTGTGGGGTTCCCAGCTTCTCTCTGTCTCTTCTGTGGAGACTTCTGGACTTGACCGCACCAGGGGCGAAAACCGCCCACAGCAGAGCGCGCCAGGGCAGTTTGAGCAGCCGAGCGCGCAGCTGCTGGAGACCGTGGCACCAACTCCGAGCGCGCGAAACGCGACGAAATGCGAATGCGCCACGAAGATCTAATAAAAATCCACGAGGACGCCCCTCGAAGGCCGAATTGGTAGGAAGAACACCGTTGACGGGACTCTCAAGAGCTTGGGGGAACGGATCAACGTGTTCACGTAGGTTCCAAGCTGAAAGTAGACCACAATCTCTTCGAGGTGGACGTTGTGATTTGACTGATTTACAAGCTTCGGACACGAAGGTGGATCATTTTGAAGCTTTGGGATAATCAAGCAATGAAGAACACCAGCTATTCAACCGAAGCTCGTAAAACAAGCTCACTCAGCTCGTTTTCGGTGGCCAGGGCCGGCTAGGCAATGCCAATCATGCAACTCCTACAAGTGCAACACTCAGTGTGCTTGTAGTCGACAATGAACTGCGGCCTCAGGTTGGAACTTTCTCATGGTCAGGGAAAACCCGCTTCATGAACTGAGCGGTTTCCAACACCCCAAGAAGATGTGAACACCATCATACACCAAGAAGCCGCCATAAAACATGGTCTTAGTGTTGCTCTCAGAATATGGTTCGTTTCAGGCTTTTGGTTGAAATAAGAACACATCACTTGGACGTGGATGGCCGGGTCTGGAAGACGACTTTCCTTTAACAGTATGTGGTTCGATCTTCCAAACCTGCAATGTTCCAAGAACTCTCTCTTCTCTGAGGCCCCCTGCGTGGCCTGTGCCTAGCGTGGGTGCGCCCGGACGTCTCACCGGTCTCTACGCTCCGTATGAGTGAGTGAACCCGGCTCCAACTCCGTTTCGAAGGTGGGCCAGGGTGGGTTTAGGGGGTCTTGAGGATATGGTTGGAGCTCTAGGGGAAGTAAAGCCGGGCAGACTGCTTGAACTGATCAAGCGGTACGGCTGAGTACGACTGATCAGGAATGCGAAGAGAAATGAAGCTTCTTCAGCGTTGCCAAAAGTCATTCATTATCCAGAAGCGTTTCCCACTGAAATGTTCTGACCCTACCTGGACCCTACCTGGACCTGCGCTCGTCGCTGGACCCCACATGGCGTGTGGGTTTTTCAAACCCCCGTGCAACCTGACCATCTGGTAGTCGATTCTCTTCACCTTCGGCCCACCAGGACCCTTTCCGCCCCAGGACCGCACGGAGACACGGCCTGTTTGTAGATGACAAACTCGTCATAGTCCACACAGCCACTCCGTTGTCGCGGCACGCCTAACGGAGACTCTGGATGTTCGGAGACTCTCGCAAGAAGGACGCCGAGACTCTCGCCCGGCAAACAAGGACGGATCACAGACGTCGATTCGACGTCACGAGAGAGACGTTTTTGCTCTTCATGCCAAACGCATGTCTTCCAACTCGAAAGAAAAAGATCCAAAAACAATCCCGACGGCGACCCATGGACCTCTTGGCAACGATCATCCATCTTCTTCTGGGTCTCTCACTGAAGGTCGTTACCAGGTCGATCCACGTCGGTGTTTTCTCAGTGTCTCCGTTCCCAGGCCCCCCCCAGTCCGCCCCTGCCTAGGACAGAGTCGCAGCGCATTTCCGCTTGACCCACGGGCGGGCGCCGCAGGGAGGAATCGGCCTGGAACATCTCGAAGACCTGGAAAATCCCGGTCTCACCCGCATCGAAAAGAGAGGGATGTGAGTCATTGGAACAATCCCTTCTTCCAGGCAGGTAAGAAGCTGTTCCAAGAAAGTCCCCCCCCAAAAGAAGGCTTTGCCATCCTCTCATCCATGCTCATCCTCTCATTCACCCATCCTCCCATCCAGCTGTTTTTCAGTTTTTGAGGATGAACACTTGTCACAAAATACCCCGGTGCCAACACGCTCCGCGCTCCACGCGCCCGGCGCGTGCCGCGCCGGATGACAGGCCCAAAAAGCGAGCCTCTCCGAGAGCGACGCGTGCCACTAACAAGCAACCTCGGTGAGGCTCGCCCCGTGCAGCGGTTGCAGCACGACTGCAAGACTGCAGGTCAGGACTGGTTTGCTTGAACAACTCTAAGAGCTACCAAGTGCATCGCTACTAGTAGCAAGAAGCTACTACTAGCGATGCCCTTGTAGCAAGGGGAACGGTCTTAACTAATCCCCAACCCTTGTTTTACGAATTCCTACACCCTTTTTCATGGACCTGGCACACCTACCCGACTCACCTAGGTTGCGTACGGAGACCTGGCGCGTGTAACGCGGGCCACCGAGGCACGGAGATCTGCCGGGATCTCGCAGTTGGGACGACCCTCCCATTCGTCCCAACGCTCGGTATAGGCATCCGCTTTCGAGGCCACCTGGCTGATCAAGGCGCTCGGTTCCGGCGCGGTGCCGAACGGCCGGACACCGGAGATCGGCCGGGGGGCGGCGATCGGAAGGTGGGGGTGGGCGGAGGCCTTCGGGTGGAAGGAAGGAGGCTTTTCCAGGCGATGTCTTTTCGAAAAGGAGGGACGAGGTCGCAAGCAGAACCCCCTAGAATAGCTCCGAAAAGAGGTGATTCGGGCCCCAAAGAGGGGGCCCTGGTACAGGCACAACATTAGTCCTTTTATGGGAGGGGGGGCATATTTCGGGGATTGACATTTCCAAGAAGCCACATCTTAGAGATCGGGTGTCATTCAAGGGGGTGGCGGCCTGAAAAAGAGGGGTGAGAAGGTCTGGTCTGCAAGTTTGAGGGCCCTAAGGCTTCATTACACTGTGTATACCTATATATACATATGGGTGTCAGTGTCGAGCCGAAGATTTCGGCATCAGTTGCCTTCTACGATCCTTGATCCATCTGTTTGTTCTACTTCATAGAGGTGCAAAGCAGGATAAATTCCATGAAATTCGAATGTTGGGACTTTGATCCGCCTGAGATGTCTGAGAAACATGAAGAGTCCCTGTCGTCATGAAATGATCATCAAGTAATCCCACGGTTGTAAGTAAGTACAAATCGACCATCCTCGAAAGTCTTGCCATGCTCTTCCTTTTTGGAATCAACAAGAATTGGATCCCCAGCTCTGGTGTTTTTCCGAGGTGTTATTGGTGGAACTCCTGTTGACTGTTGATTGCTCTAAAAAAGGAACCCTCAAAAAAACGGAAATGCTTCCACGCTGCTACGAGGTGGGTGGTGTTTTACTATATTAACATATTATATATATATATATATTAATCATCCATCCATATCTGCCCTCTCTACCCCTCGCACCGTGGTGAAGTAGCAGCCAATGCCGAAGGCTGCACCGGTATTGATGCCGCCCAGGCGTGGGTCAAAGCCCTCACCTTGGAAGCGAACAAAAAAAATGAACGAAACCTACTAGCAATGGCCTCCAACCTAAGAGCGATGTGGAAGCGGAATGAGTGGAAGTGTCTTTTTCAGTCATTTGGCCGTTTTGGTTGATGGCACCTTAAATACCTCAATAAGTCTCCATAAGTCTCGCCCTCTTACCCTGCTAGGTTCACCTCCTTAGTTGGTCTCCCGGTTTTCACCCACCGCCAGCGTCGGCATGGACGATGGACGCGTCTTAAGTCACTGGTGTCCGGCTCGACCACCACGGGCGAAACAACCAAACGCGGGTCGGTGGGTGCTCAGGCCTCGTGTGGTGTCCGGAAATCAACCCACACCGCGGTGTTCAGGGTGTGACCTTGTCATCCGAGCCTGTTCCCTTTCTACCGCCCATCTACAGTAACCAGTCGTCAAGTTCAGACTGCGACCCCACCGCGGTCATGGCGTGGCGCCACCTCTCCGAGCCCTCCGTCCGCGTTCTTCGAAGGGAGGGGCAGTCGTTTCTTCTAGCCCTCCGTCCAAACCCGCAAATCAAACGAAGGGTATTCGAAACGAACGTTCTTCTACAAGTAGTGGATCCAGGCAAACCACTCTTTCCTTATGTATATATATATATATATGTATATTATATTTGTCATATATGTCTCTCTTTTCTATGTATACCAGGACCCTCCAACAGGTCACCACCTGCGACTTTTAAGTCTACAAAAGCCTCCAGAGGAGACCTGTTGGAGGGTGCTGATATATGTATATATATAATACCTGTATATAATGGTACCCCCCAAATTACCTAGATCTTCCAACTGTGCATGTTTTGCCTTTTTGCCTAGTTCTATTGATGAGAAGGCAGAAACTCTGCACAGTTGGAAGATCCATGGATTTACCATCATATATCATAATCTCTTATTAGTTCCAGTCGGTTTGGCCCAAACTGCTTCAAGTCAGCCAAGTTGGCTCGGCTTGGCCCAAAAGAACGAGTGCAGTGCCATTTGAGGCCTGTAAAAGGGCCCGAAGTTTCGCTTCACCGGTTTTGGCCCACATCGGATGGTTTTCATTTGCACCCGTGTCACTCCCCCAAAAAGACTGCTCACCGTTTCACGGCTGCCACGATTTTCCAGCCCAGTCGACCGGATGTCACTCCATACCTGGCGTCCACACAGAGGCGACCGGACTCGGGGAGAACAACTACGGATACGGTTCCAGAAAGACGCCGAAAACCAACCACCCCTGGCCTGAGGCTGGTTGGCTGGTTGAAGAGATGAACTACGTAGATGTTTTTGTGGCATG